CCAGGATCTTGCTTACAGATTTTGGTGAAGCCTTCTCATACCCAAAAGAACTAAAATATGAATCTCGCACTCCCCTTGTTATCCGTCCCCCGAGGCTCGGTTGGAACCAAATAAACCTCTGTCTTTTTCATCAGACATCTGGTCTCTCGCCTGTACCATATGGACTATCATCGCTCAACGGCCATTGTTTGAAGGATTTCTTGCGACGGAGGATGACATGACCTGTGAGCATGTCGATACTCTTGGTACTTTGCCACCTGAATGGTGGAACACGTGGGAGGCGCGACGACATAAATTTGCAGAGGATGGTACGCCACTGAATCGTAACCCTTTCCGATCCTGGGGCGATCGGTTTGAGGATAGCGTAAACCCAGGCAAGATAGCGGGATGCCGTTATTTGACGCAAGGGGGAGGGACGCTATCTTTGACATGCTACGGCCGATGCTCTCATTCAGACCCGAGGATCGTCCTACTACCAAGCAAGTTCTTGAGTCAGAATGGATGGTAAAATGGGCTCTGCCTGAATATGGCAAGATTCAAAATTGTGTATGAGTTATTCTACTGTGGGACTGTATGTATCATTTTTATAGCCCCTGAGGCAGCACTCCGGAATCTCTTGCAAACTTCAGGATGCTTGACGATTTGAAGTGTATGCTCGAGATTGTATCGAGAAATACCCAGAGCCGCAAATGGTGCTGAGAAGTCTACCAAGTCCGGACGCCACCCTCTATGGGTAGCCTTCCCTGATGACCTGTAACTGTTAGCGAAGTCATCGCCGGCACTGGTGCGGAAGTCATTTCTCAAGTCATTGCGTCTTTTCATGAAGTGCCGCGGGTCCAGAACTGCTCACTGTATGTGCTACCTTACCATTGACTCCAAAGCCGGTTCCTTACGTCCGGCGCATGTCACACTGGAGACATGTCTTCAACCGAACCCGGAGGGCACATTTGCGCAAGCGCAGGTATGTATATGGCATCCTGTGTGAGATACTTTTTTGTTTGAGGAACTAAAAGCGGGACCATGTGAACAGCTTTACCCTGCAGGTGCTCTAGAAATACAGACTGAGTATGCTACTGGGTTAAAAGCCTTTAATACTTTGTAGAGTGGCTTGATAATGAAGAAGCAAAAAAAGGCGCAGGAGGAAAGTATTCCAAATACAACAGTTGACACAGAACGTCTGAAGGTAAACAGCTCTCCATGAGTAAAACAAGAGAAAATAACAAGAAGAAAGAAGAAAGAAGAAAAAGAGACAAAGGAAAAGAGTAAAAAAATTATCCTTATGCGTTCAAAATAGAGTTGCGTAACCAAACCCCTAAAATTGAATCCAACCCTCACTGAACTTGTAGTGGTTCAGGTTCGGTACCTAGTCTAGGGAATTACTAGAATCTAGCCTATGTAAATATGAAATATCAATTCAAAATATCTAGTGGTTGGTGAGATACAAGGGAATAATCATCTCTATTAGGGGTTAGTATAAAAGTGGTGGTGGTTTGCGCCACTGTCAGACTGCTAGCCCTTTGCTGCTGACAAAGTCCACTTGCATGTCGATCAGAACTTTGTTTCGTTGGAGATCAAGATCTCAGACTTCAAGGGCTAACCAAGCGTTGACTAAATTTGGTGTTCATGAGAGGCGGTCCAGACGACCGCGAGGCCACTGACTGCTCGTTCCCAGCACACGGTCCTCCCAAGAACAGCAGGGTTCTCATTGGCGTCGATTTAAGCACCAGGGAAGAAAGAAAAATAATTACGTCTACAGGCCCTTTGTTATCTTGTTGATGATCATAACCCTTCAAATGACCCAAAATCCAGGCTGTTCGAGATTGAATGGGAGATTTATTGACTCGGGACATCTGCTACCCTATGGGGCCATCTCAGAAGACCTGTTTGCTCTTTCACAAGCCAGTATTGAGCCGCAAGACCAGAATTTTATCTGACAACTTCCGAGAGTACCGATTGGGTGGATGGATACGAGGAAGCCTCGCCGTGTCAGCCTAGTTAAGAGGCGCAGTGACAGCTACTGAGCTTTTTTATGAGCTTCGTGCTGTTGCTGCTCTATCATTGATCACTCTTTGCCAAAATATACAGGGGTGCTCCACCATTACGAGTGCAATAGATCCTGCGGCCTTTACGCCAATCGCTTTGCGAAATGCAACATTTCGAGATATAAATACCCCTGAATACGAACAGCGGAAATTACTGACATGTCTGCCAAGACAGTATTATTGCCTCTTTACGGTGTATTCTGCGGCAAGTTTCGTATTCATCAACTAATAGAATCAAAATGCCGTATAGCTCATCCATCGAGCTCTCTATGCCCACAGCTTCACCACTTATATTTATCGGGAGAGCAATTATCGCCGTATATAAGACTTCGTCCGGAACCCATCATGGGAGGAGCAGAACATCACTCCCTTCGCTCATCTTCACTACCACTTCTTTCATTTAAACCTTGCTCATAATGAGATTCCTTCCTTGGGCTGCTGCCATTCTCTCAGCTGTGTGCGTTCAGGCAAATGAGTGGCACGCCTACTACCGGCTGACCTCCGATGCATACCAAGCCAAGTTCAATGACCTTGTGGGCCAAGGCTACCGCCTGAATTCCGTCAGCGGTTACGAACGCAACGGCCAGCCTAATTTTGCCGTTGTCTTTGAGAAAAAGTCTTCGGCGGCCTGGATATCACACCATGGCATGACTTCTGCCGACTACCAAAAGAAATTCGACGACTATCTCAGCCAGGGATACCGTGTTGTCCAGGTTAATGGCTACACTGTCGGCAAAGACGCGTACTATGCTGCCATTTGGGACAAGTCACCCTCCGCCGGCTGGGTCACTCGTCATGGAATGACGGTCGAATCGATGCAGAAATATTTCGACGAGTACCTGAAACAGGGTTACAAGCTCACTCATATCAGCGGCTACGAGCTCAAGGGCGAGGAGCGCTTTGCTGCGATCTGGGAGAAGAAGAACGACAACATCGCCTGGCTCTCCTATGCCAACATGACCTCTGCCGAATACCAGTCGCGCTTTGACAAATATGTCAAGGACGGATACCGCCTAATCGACGTCGATGGATATCAGGTAGACGACCACGTGTACTATGCGGCCATCTGGGACAAGTCGGCCTCTGGTGCCTGGGTCGCCAGGCACGGATTGGATTCACCAAGCTTCCAGGCGGAGTTTGACAAGAATAAGAAGGCGGGCTATGTTCTTCGCGCCTTCAGTGGGTACAATTCTGGAAAGGAGGATCGCTATGCTGGTCTTTGGATAAAGCCATAGATTGAATTTTGTATTATTAAACGGATCTCTGATATCAGGCCGATAGCAATTGCAGACTTGTACCATAAGTTAAACCGTTAACAGTGCAATCATCACTACCCCAGGATATGTACTCAAAAATAAAACAAAGTGATGGGTTGGAAAGGTTTTCATCCTTACGCCAGTACCTACCATTGTCCTTGATTCTTCTCTCTGCATATGCCAGGTATCCGATAGTCACCTTTCCCTTACAAAGTTAAGCAGGGCAAATATCGTTGGTTCCAGTAAATTAACCATTCTGGTTTTTCTGGACAAATGGGGCCAACCAGCCATAAACTCGACGTTTGGAGTGCGGCAATCTATGTCCACTGGTCATTCACCGGCAACTGGACTCCATCACACCTTGGATGATGAATGAACGTAAAATTACAGCTGATGAACTGTGCGAATTTGAATATTAAAAATATAAACTCGGTTCTTGTTCATTTATTGTTTCAGTATCATATCTTAATTTTGATTCCAATGCCCTGCAGTCCGAAGGAACAAACTCTATCAAGAGAAAACTAATACAAACCCGTAAACGATAGATACATTGACCAAATCCTTCGTCCTCCTATATGACCCTCCATTTCCTCTCTTACCATCCATCACTATCTCTTGCCGTCTCTTACTTCCCGAAACTGTTCACACCCCCGGATGCACACGCGGAAAAGGCCAACCCTGCACCGCAGTAGGCATTTGCGTCAAATACCGAGTCTTTCCCAAACTTGATATAACCGTTCCAGGTACCCCCATGATCAAGCCTCAGGCACTGTGTACCGCAAACCTTGTCCTCGACAACTGCTAGATAATGGTATATAGCCCCGGCAATCGTCTTTTGCAGGGCGGTAGTATCACAGTTCCGACCTGAACCGTAGTATTCATACTGAATATCATTGAAACTACCGCGCACGGTGCAACAGTTGTGCATGTCTGTCTGGGATTTGGCCCTGGATGCAATTGCGAAAGAAATGGAGTATGAGACACCGATGATAGTAAAGCAACTGGCCGCCGCACTCAGAATTCGTTCGCACACCTCGACCGGGGTACGAGCGGTCAATGAGGTGGTGTCATTCGAGGTTGGGATAGGAACTCGGGAACGTTCTCATCGAGAGACAGCGAGAACCACCGATCAGGCAGCGGCTGGCCATCGATAGCAGAAGGTGATGTAACAACCAGTGCAGGCGTAAGACAAGAAAATATACTTAAAGTCAAGCTCAACACCTTTAGAGTATGCATAGTAGAAGCAGAGGCTGGTGATAAAGATACTGAAAGAACCGAGACGAGCTATAGTGCGATTCGAAGGGATAAGATCCATGAGACGAGTTCCTGTATTATGGTTTTCTCGAATCTCTGGCGGAGGGTAAGTCATGGCAGTGAAAGTGGATGGAAGGTGTCTTTATATAACACGGAGAAGAGGCGAGCAGTTGAACTGTCTCGAGAGACTCGCGATACTTTTTGTAAATCAAGTCGGATTCGCACCGAAGCCAGCTAGACGCTAATTGATGTATTCTGAGACATCAGGATGGAACTCGTCGGAGACGTCAGTTCAATTCGCTCCTGCGGCCATTAGCAGCCTTTGTCCCACTAGGGAATGGTAGGCAGTGATTAATCACGGCGTACGGCCGTTAAATAATGACACACAAAAACACACACGCGTGTATATTCGTAACATTATTATTATTATTATTATTATTAATCTCAGTCACGTATCTGTCAACCCCACCATGTGTTGTTCGGCTGCACCCGATACGACGACCTTCCGCGCGGCATGGACGGAAGGGACCCCCCGGAACCTAACAGAGGCCTTGACGGAGAGACAGTACATTCGGTGGGCAGCGCGGCTCATGCTGAGCACCGGCCGGCTGACGTATCTGGCGGAGGCCACCCAGCCGGCATGGCTCGAGCCGAGCACCCCCAGCAGCGCTAGGCTGTTGACAGCCCCAGCAGGCGATGGCTGACAGACCGCTATCACATATTACCGCATACTACTAGTCACTCCCGTCGGTACGGCGCTGCTATCCTTGGCCCCGACCTGTGCACCTGCGCGGCATCGGGATGCCGGACCGGGAGACCCCAGACCGGCACCATTCGGTAGTGACGCCCTCGAAACCCTCGCAGGCTTGGGAATCTGCGGCATTTCGAACGAGTTCGCGGCTATCTAGGGGTGGAAAGGGGCTTATACAGGCACCTAGGCAGGCATGAGGGCATCTAAGGGAGGAGCAAGGTAGCAGCACTCACCAATTTCGGCCCCGGCCGAAACAGGTCCATGAGGGAATCTACGAGGGAGTCTACGGGGTTCAGCCTAGCCTAGGTGCTGAAGAGATATATATTTCCATGTGTGCTGGCGGCGTCAGTCTGCAAAGACGGCCGTCAGTCAGATAGTCGCTGCTCACTAGGAGCCTCCGGCATGGCCCAGCTCGGTGCCGGAACGGAGTAAGGAATCAATCAATTAATCAATCAATCAATCGTATCTGTCAACACTATCGGCCGAGGGGCATCAGGTCCTGCCAGCAGCCACCACTAAGCTAGCTGCGCACTGCAGCCCCACATGGAGCTAGAAGTAAGGTGTGGCTTATGGCCGCAAAAGATCCTCCGTAGAGCCAAACTTCAGTGATTAGCCCACAACTAATGGGCATTGATCGATGTTGTTGTTAAAGTAGACCATGATTGGGAAGTCTAACGGAATAACACCTAATCAGTAAAAAATATATTATACAGCAAATTTCCATCCATGATAGGGTATTAGTCTGGTCATTTTCAGCTTGATATACAAAGAGCTGGGAAAAATGGAAATTCGCTAAAGTAAGAAAATCTCTCACGGTTCCAAGGAGCAATAGTTAGCCTGAGTATTTTAGAAGATTTTTGTGCTTTTGTCCAATGGGTCCACTGGATCACTCGGAGCTAAATGAATGTAACCCTACTATTCCTGGTCTACAGCTTAGTTCAACACTAGGCCTTTGACAAGGTGGGATTCGTCTCTGCTATTCTCTGCTAGTCGGGTACTATAGTACTATAGCCGAACAGGTCTATAGTCTGATACTTGCCTGAGGCCTACCGACCAGGTAGCCTGTGGTGCAACTGATACAATGGCCTCGACGGGGATCAAGGACAATCCAAAGATAACACAAGAACAAATAACAGTAGAGATAGAAGCAAGGCCTATTGAGTACATATACTCAATAGTAAAAGAGTAACTGACGAATCGGACTAGTGAAATTGTACTCAAGTGAGATACTGATATATTGAACGCGAGGAACTAAGCTAAGAGTGCTAGATACAGTGGTAATGAGTGTCCTTATATAGTCCCTCCTCGAACTACCATTTATCTACCATCTGATGGTAGTCATCGATGGTAGTCGTCCAATGACGCGACTTGGCGGCTGAAAGGGTGTTGTTTATGTCAACCGTAATTGCAAACACTTGGGATAGAAATATATATCTGCTGTAGTGGCAGGATGTCACTGGTAGTCTTAAGCTGACAAAATCATTTCTACTATTACTCTAGTTTCACAAAGGAAAGTAATATCATACAATCTAGCAATCATTATAGAGATATTATTTGATACATTTTAGAGCACTTACCACAGATTGAGGGCAACCAAATGTGGAAGACAAGTAATAGCTATTCTAATCACGGCCTTCTACATAGGCTTTTTGAAGGGCGCATTATCTCAACAATTGCCTCTATGGTGTAGTTGGTTATCACGCAGGTCTCATATCACATGACTCTTCTGTCAACAGAAGGGATGTTCCTGAAATCCTGAGGTCTCCAGTTCGATCCTGGATGGAGGCAATTCTTTTTTGCAATATTTTTTTTGGGTCTCTCATCTCCGCCCACCTTGTCAATGCGATCATCCTTGTCAGTCCATCTGGATGTCCCGATTATAGTCATATGTTTATCTATGTATATAAAGAGAAACATGAATTTTTGATTGTCCGTAGGCAAGACTAGATGCTGGCTGGTACTAGCAATCCAAACAATCTAGACAAGAATCACAAACAGTTTGTCTCCATACCAGCCTCCAGAGAGACTACCTCATGGGTCCACAAGCCATCAAGGTATCTACTTCTTATATGCCAAGATGTATGCCTGGTTCTGCCATTTTGTAGCTCAGATCCTCATTACTTGGAGGGAAGTAGCTCCATCCGATGGCAGCACTGCAGAGGGGATATCGATACTTTCAGGGTTAAGATCATGGAATGACATGAAGCTCAAATGGGATAGCACTCTCCTTGATAGCGTGGGACCTCCGAGGACCCTGGAATTGAACAAGTCTTAAACACACAATTTACGGCTCCAGTCTATTGACAACAGACTTTAAGGCATCAAGCGGGATATGAGGCATTCAATCTCAATCATGTGACTTCCACCAGTAGGGGATAAGTCATGTGTTTCCCCTCAACCAATCACCTCAGGCAGCCGAGGAGAGGTGTCTCAACAGTCTGAGCGCGTACAAAGGCCAGACCACAGGTATATCATTCTGACTATGACTTAGAGCGGAGGGTCTGTCCTGCAATGACGCACGAGGTGAAAGACGCAAATGCGACCGTGTCAAGTGCATTGTCCTCGGGAAACATGCGCCAGCGGTCGCGACAGGCATGCGTGCCCTGCCGCCAACGCAAAAGAAAGTGCGATGGGAAATTTCCATGCTCGACCTGTACAGGCTATGGATACGATTGCCAGTTTTTGGAGGACTCTGTGAAGTCTGTCAAAAGACACGCAGACTCGGTTTCGTTGCCACTGCCCTCTACGAAGGCTGCTCGTTTGTCAGAGGCAACAGCGAAAAGCCTGGGAGGCAGCTCGGTGATCTCTTCTTCCTCTCATGGCATCCTTGAGCCTTTAAAGCTCAGGTATATGGACCGACACTCATCAGTTGCGTTTCCCATGACGGTCGGCCTGGATATGCAGGCCGCAAATCCCCCGCGACTGCACTCTTTTGCGTATAACCCTGGAGTTCGCGCAGAGCCCAGCTGTGGTGTCACCTTTGACTTGACCGCATTTATCTCATGGGATAAAGTCCGAAGTCTGATAGATGTGTACTCGTCGACCGTCCATCCGGTGTTTGGACTGCTGGACATGGAGCGGCTGTACCACCGATGCGAGGAGCACTGGCGCGGCAAAGCGCAAGGCCTGGGTCTGGAAGCCCTGATCAGCGGAGTCATTGCCCTCGGCTCTCTTTTCTCTGGTTTTCTCAGCGAAGAAGAGGAGATGAGGATCATGCTGCATGCGAAGGACATCCTGGAAGATGCCTGGGTTAGTCGGATACCTTCCATTGACAAGATCGCCGGGTGGATCTTGCGTACCATCTATGTGCGATCGACCAGTCGGCCACACTCGGCTTGGTTGTGCAGCTGCACCACGATGCATCTCGTTGAAGCCGCTGGTCTACATCGGCCATTAGACGCGGTCATTCTGACAACCGGAGGTAGTGGCAGAAAGGCTTTGGAGGATATCGCTGAGACACGGGACCGCATTGCCCAGGTAGCTCAGTGTTTGAATATAATCATAGCCTACGATTATGGACGGTCTGTGGTTGACCTTGGATTGAAATGGAAAAGAGACTCGAGGTGCGATGCACCGTCCAGTGACCTGACGCCACAGTTGTTCGGTCTGGTCGGAGCTGTCCCGCTCGACAACAACGCTGACCCGGTTGCCAGGCGGGATGAGCTGGCCGTGGGCCTTGAGAATCTAGTCAAGGTGTCGGTTGAGCATGACTTTTTGATATTAGTCAAGGCAGACCTGGCATTTTGTATCTACCGCCGGATCCGACTTCTAGACTCTGCAACGCCTCAAGCGCAGCTCGATCGAGTCATCGAGATCGGCCGTTCCGCATTATCTTCTGCCCGGCGACTGGTTGCACAGAACCATCCGTGGTGGAATGTCGTTGTTACTGTCTTCCAGTTTATCTGCGTGCTTGTCGCCATCGATACAACCGAGAGTCTGGATAGAATCCCGGAAGCTGTGGAAACCATGGAAATGATCGCACAACGTTTGAACACGCATTTGGCAAATGAAGCGCTTCTCACAGCACGCCATCTCATCAATGCGTCACTGGAGAAGAAGCGAAAAGGCATCTCGATCCTCGCGCGGGTGTCGGGAATTTCTGCACCGATTGACTCTGATCGCTTGGGAGGACAATGGCTCCCTTCAGATTCATTGTTGGATACATTTTCACAAACACCGTCGATTGATATGGACTTTCTTCTCGGCATGGACTTGCTGCTTTGATGACAGTTCTTCGAATGCTATCATTCGACTCTGCAGCCTGATTCAGCAACAGTAGACACACTGTGTCACGATGAGACTGGTGCGGAGAATCCGCTGCTGGTCAGCTGGATCTCGAACACGGAGCAACGGTGCCTACAAAGCTGCGGAAGCCGAATACACAGGATTCCACACCCAACGTTCTCCCAGCATCATTCGATTGAGAAGGCCGGCGCCCACCAGTTGAGCAATGCTGCGGGCAGCGCAAGAAGTGCTATATGTCTAGCGCTAACAATCGCTTGCTGATAGTCGTGAGATTGATCGATTTCCGTTGGAGAGGGGGGCAATGTCTACCAATCTTCGCAGATTGCCCAGCATGCCTGCAGTATGAGCTTCAGCTGAATGATCCATTAGGCAGACGGGCTCACTGCCGCTACGTTCGTATCATATACTACGGAAGGCAGGTCAGTAGTATCAATAATATTGAGGACGCGGCACCAGCAGACCCTCGCAGCAGTAACTGGAGTATCGCACGGGGGAGACGCGGTCGCATTGGCATTGCGCGGGATTATACCGCAGCTGTCGGACGAATCTATGATCACCCGGGCGGTTGCTGCACGCATATGCAGGGTACCTTGGTGGTTGTCTAGTTGCCAGGGAGGCCAAAGTCATGCTTGCAATTCAGTCCAGCAATGCCTACTTCATCAGAAAACTGTCTTGGCCAGTCCTGCCTCGACCGGAGGCTGTATAGGTGCGAATAGAGATTCGCTTCGGAGCACAATACTACATCGCTAATTCGACAGAGCTACCCTGATGATACATCAGGTTTCATAGCAAGTGCAGTCGGCCATTGCCCTGTAATGTGAAGCTGTGTCATTCTAATGGAGGGTTCACTCCAAGTCCTTAATCAAAACATGGCAGACTATCGTACAGCTCATCAAACCCAGGAAACGTGTACTAGAACATTTTGTCAAAGACATTCTGATCGCGGTCCAATGCGTCCGCTTCCTTGCGCAGCACGTCTGCTCTGAACTTCCGGAATGCGGTCTCGATGCGTTTTCTTTGCTCAGGGTCCTTTGTAATGCTGCGACTTCCACTGGCCGCTCCGGAAAAGAAGCCTGGAGTACAAAAAGGTTAGCGATCATTGCATCTTCTGTATATAAGCATTGCCCCAGGCATACCCAGCTCCCCACCCAAGAACAGTCCACCCGCGGAAGCAAAGAAATACGTCGCAAAGTCTCCCCATGTTGTCGGCTTCAATAATGGGGTAATATCAGGGATTGTTTCTGTTTCTCTGTCAGTAATTGTAATCTTTCTTTCGTCGAACGAGGCCTGTCGTACCGGTTCGACCATCGGAAAACACCACCTGCGTGGGTTTCTCCGCTGCGCGGAATGCCTCGAAGAAAGCCTTGCGCGTGCTTCGTAGTCGGAACGCGACATAGAGACCGAGGCCTATGCCAACTGCCGAGCCCACGGTGGTCCAGAGAGATACTCTGGAGGCGGCGTTTTTGAGCACGTCGCGATCTTCGGGTCGCAGATCATGTTGCATGTGCTGGTCCGCCAGTCGCATGAGCTCGTCGCTGCGACGACTGCGGATAGAGAAGGAGGATTCAGGCATGTTGATGGATTGAGGCTAGTAAGTGGTGTTTGAAGTGATATTTGATAGGAAGAAGTTGCTTGAGCGATGCAGGATGATTAAATATCAAGGTTTATGGGACTGGACAATTGAAGCTGGTTGCGAGTAATGACGTCAGCGGGTAAGGGTGAATTACAGCATCATCACAAGCATCGAAAGCATAGATTTGGCCCATTTTTGATATTATATCCTTTTCTTCAGTTGGTATGAGTTTTAAAATAGTCATTATATATAGTGTGATAATCTATCTACTAGCAGGACATAACAGCCCCAGGCATTTATTATGAAGCCTGAAGTTTTGTGCTAGGAGTGCAGTTAGAATAGCGATGATATGTATATATATCATTCCTCTTTAGGTGTATGATGGTAATGAGCACTCGAGTCACCACATCCTTCCAAGCCCTTGACCTTTTTTATGCAGGAGCTGAACATTTGTCTAGCATTGTACGGTAACCCTGGCCTCCTTGATCCAATATGATAGGGTATGCTCCTTGTGATGACTCGACTTCTAGGCTTCTGCTGCCACGAGGATGGAGACATACCTGCTGTATAGCCAGCAAGCAAGTGATCTGGCCGTAGGCGCATTTCACACCGAAGTTATTGGAAATCTCACGCATTGGCGACAAGAACCGGCTGATGTGCCGGGGAACACGGCCCTTATCAATCGACGAGAGGTGGACGAGGGCTTGCGGAGCCAACGGACGAGCGTTTGGCAGTGCTGCGTAAGGCTCACGGCGTCTCGAAGGCGTCTCTCCAATTACATGAGCAGTTGGAGGAATGGATTTTGGAGCGTATGGCGGACCTGGAACCTGATCTGTACGAGTCAGCTATAGTATCCTGAGAATCACGACAAACATTCTGCTTTCCTCATCTTCAGCGTCATGATATGCACTTCATAACTGATGTGAGAACAGGTCAGGTATCAGCAAGTCAAACTCAGATTCACAACACTGTTTCGACATACCATCGCAAGTCGGCCCACAAGATTGTGGCGGAATAATGCTCGCTTGAGCAGACCGCTTTATCGTAGTATGCAAGGGATGCTGCGCGGATCCCAGTCACCTCACGTCAGCTCTTCCACTCTAGAGCGCTGAATTTTGAAAAAAACGAGCTTATCGGCTCGGGCAATCCCTTGCAGGATCGCGTGCTCACATTTGACAGGTTCTCAAATGGCGGTTAGGGCGCCCTTTTTGGGCACCAGGAGATGCAACTGTAGTTATGGTGTTACTAAGCGTGGTAGATCGGGCAGATAGACCATGAGATTCTTAAGTTTTACCGGCGCACGTGTGACTGTCTACTGCAAGGGTTGAGCTTCGGGAAATCTCGTGGCCTGATGACAAGTTTAGTAGGTCCGATCCGTTGGTGTCACGCAATCCCGTGTTGTTAGGTGTGGCTGGATCGATATGTAGTAGCAATTTCTCGAGATGAAGGCTTACTCCAAGTTTCAAGTATCGAGGCTGAGCCCCTAGGAAATGCCAAGGGTCCTCACAGGAGGGAGGATAAACTGCATGCCAACTGTTGGGTCAGCAGGACCGTCCACAACAAGCCTACGGGTTGAATGCAGCTCAAGTCGCGTTCGAGAGTCTTCTGGAAAGCAAGGGAGCATAATGCAAGTACCTTCCACGAGATCTGCAGGGGAAGGACACGTGTATGCTTCTAGGAGTAGATTACTAGGAGAGTTCACAGGAGTTTTCATCCTTGTTTACCCGAGATTCTATGGATAGGATTCGTACAACCCTTAGTCTTATGTCTACAGTAGACCATATGGTACATACATCTTGAAGGTCGCCAGGGCCAATCTGTTCTGCTTTTGCCTCGACTGGCAGAGAGGCTTTGTCTCATCGACCAGGGTTATGCGCCTTGATTAGTCCTGTAGTAATGGGTCCTCATATACACAGGTGCGTTCGAGGAATGTAGGACATGGCGAAAGGACTATTATTGGACCCTCACCAGTCCATCATTGCTGAATCAAGGGAAGCGCATTTGGAGCAGCAGAGACGAACCCGCCTTTTTCCGAGAATCGGTCTTTGCTGGCTTCGACAAGAGGTCTGTGGATGATATGCGCCCTTGCTCATGCATGATGCGGGATTTTTCTGTTGTTGAATAGCATCCATTCCTCAACCGAAAATTCCCAACGGAGGTGTTAACCATTTGTTTAGCAATTTTGCCGTCTGACAATATCAGAGCAATCCGCCAAAGTTGCTCTAGAGACCAGACGGCAGCGATACAGAATTGCTCTCGACTAATGACCGACGAATGCCTGATGGCATTAATTTGCTCTCATGACAAGAACAGTAGTCAGCCGCAGATGTCTACTTCGGCATCACAATGTCCCGACTAAGCTTGTTCTGGATCCTAAGTAGCCACCTTCTGTAGCTTCGGATAAGTTCCGTTCTCTGGGACGTCTTAAGTAATCAGCCCAAATGCCCCTGAGTAACTTGCGCAATGAATAATATGCTTTGCGCTCACGTCTCCAAGGATCATCTCTGGAACGCCACACCTTGAGCTGTCGACCCCGATATGTTTATAAAAATGGCTCATAACGGAGCCGTGAACGCGGGGTTTGATGCCCACCTCTCCGCAAGATGATTCCGGGGCTTCCCCAACAAAATGGAGCAAAACAAAGGGCCATATCCACAGTGTGAACTGTATTAATAATGGAATCCCAAATGCACAGGCAACTCGTGTAGGATACTCTCGTGGAGATCAGGTGCAGCCGCGACATCCTCAGCATATTGCTGGGAAACCGATCAGGCCCTGGCGTTGCCGGAACGGGACTAGTCTGAGACATTTTCATGACGCAAGCGTTTCTATGCAGTCAGCCAAAGCCTGAACCTGCGACTCCTATACGCATCGAGGATAACATAGGGAAGATGTCTCAGAGAAGAATGAGCCTTTGTCTGATTCAGGCGTGTTCAGATTGTAGACAGACACTGTAATGAACCGACAGTTTGATGATGGACCAGTGGTACACAGTATGGAGTACACAGGAGCACGCCCAAGGCTGCGAGGAAGGAATTTTTCAGCAGCCCGGGAAAAGGCAGCCAGCACTAACCTGAAACAGCCTAGCTTCTTGGCAGAATTGAGTTTTTTCCGGTTCCTGAAGTCGAGCCTCTTCGGTTTGTCGCCTCAGCAAAGTAAATCCGGCCCAGCCGGTCGCGCCGTCCAGGCTTATCTTATCTCACCTGACCGCGCTAGACCAACTTCGGCCCCGACTACGCTGTGGGTGGCGGAAATTCCTGCCCATTCCTGCCGATTCCCTGCCTTGGGCTTGTCTTGTCCGGCTTGTCCTGTTGCTTGCCGTGATGCCCTGTTGCCCGTAAGATCGGATTTGGCGGCGCCACCGTCGATCGTCCGCAGAGTTTTATTGATGTCAGGAAAAGTATCAAAGGGCTCTTCTATCACATCCCTTGCTTTCTTTCTACACGTGTCGCTTCTCCAGAGTGTTCCAGGACCCCGCAATGGATATTTGGCGATTTCTGGGGACTTTTCGCGGGGGATTCGGGCTCATCGACATGACTATTTCCCTTTGGTGATATCTATTACCAAATGCAATCACCTTGGTGCTATCTCGACTCCACGTCACGATGGGTCCACACAGCCCTCTCGTTTCACAGAGTGTCATTGACTGCCAGTGGTCTAACCTGCTTGTGGCAAAGTGTCCACCCGTCGACTGCCGGTCATTTGCTGGATGATGCCAAATGCAGTAAGCTGGTAGACATAGTGGATCGTCGCACACCAGCGCCACGGAATCTAATTAATAAAAGAAATTCCCTGCTATCACTCGCGCCTTGGAGAATGTCTCCAAGTCTGACTTATGCTGCCGATACGCAGGACTCTGTAATCCATAGTAGTCCAATCATGCCACTGTATTTATTATTCTAATCGGCCTCTTTTTCTCCCTGTGTCTCTGCCTCACTTTTCCACTCCACACCCATTTCCCGCCCCCTTCGACCAGTTTATAAAGCACACAACTGGCTTGTTCACTTTCCTCTCCCTCTGCTCTTCCCTCTCACGACTATAGGAAGACGGTACGATCTCGGGGCTCAGTCCGCTTTTCCTCTTCTTCCTTTACTCTCACACCATCTTCAGCACTACTCTCCCCTTCAACATGGGGTCCTCAGCCGACATTTCCGACTACTCTGATACCGGCAAGGCCGTGGGAGCCGACAATGAGAAGGGCGAGAAATTCCTCGCTCCTCCCCAGTACGATGGAGACAAAGACATGATTGGGGAGATGAGCGAGGCGGAAAGACACATCTATGAGCATGGTGTGCAGAAATACAGCCGTCTCGGATGGAAGCGTCTCACCGTCGTGCTCATCGTGGAGGCCATCGCGCTTGGTAGTCTGTCAATCCCCTCCTCCTTCGCTACATTGGGTATGGTGCCTGGTGTCATCTGCTGTGTTGGTCTTGGATTCGTTGCCATCTACACCAGTTACGTTGTCGGTCAGGTCAAGCTCAAGTTCCCTCAAGTCGCCCACTATCCCGATGCTGGGCGGCTCATGTTCGGCCGCTTCGGCTATGAACTGATCAATGTCATGCTCATCCTCCAACTCACCTTCCTGACCGGCTCGCACTGCCTGACCGGAACCATTGCCTTCACCAACATCACCGAGAGTTCCATCTGCTCCGTCGTCTTCGGCGTTGTGTCTGCCATCATCCTGCTATTGGTCGCCGTCCCTCCTAGCTTTGCTGAAATGGCTATTCTGGGCTATGTCGACTTCGTGTCGATTATTGCCGCCATTGGGATCACCATTATTGGCACTGGCCTCAGGAGCGCTGATGCACCAGGTGGTCTGTCCGGAGTGGAGTGGTCTGCCTGGCCCAAGGAAGGGACCACCTTCACTGAGGCGTTCATCGCCATCACCAACATCGTTTTCGCGTACAGCTTCGCCATGTGCCAGTTTTCCTTTATGGATGAGATGCACACCCCCAAGGACTTTGTCAAGTCGATCTGGGCGCTGGGTTTGGTGGAAATCTTCATCTACACTCTCACTGGTGCGCTGATCTATGCCTTTGTTGGCATGGACGTGAAGAGCCCTGCGCTGCTGTCTGCCGGACACACTCTCAGCCGTGTGGCTTTCGGTATCGCCCTGCCTGTCATCTTTATCAGTGGCTCCATCAACACCGTCGTCTGTGGCCGTCTGATCCACGGACGCATCTTCAAGAACTCACACATCCGCTTCATCAACACCCCGAAGGGCTGGGCCACCTGGCTCGCTCTTATCAGCGTGATCACCCTCGTCGCATTCATCATCGCCGAGGTGATTCCTTTCTTCTCCGACCTGCTGTCCATCTCCTCTGCCCTCTTCATCTCGGGCTTCACCTTCTACTTCCCTGCTCTGATGTGGTTCCTCCTCATCCGCGAGGGCAAGTGGAATGAGCCTAAGAACTTGGCACTTGGTGCCTTGAACGTCCTCGTCCTGATTATTGGTCTCGTCACCCTGGTCGGTGGTACCTACTCCAGTATCGATGACATTGTAAGCATCCTGCCTTTCTGCCATTTTCCAATCAATTACTAACTGCGACACTAGATTATCAACTACAGACAGGGCACTGTTAGAGGTGTTTTCGCCTGCCGCATGACCTAAACGTCGAATCACCGACAGCTACGGTTGAATGTGCGCTGGTTGTATCATATATGAACGGCTCAAGACTTGTCGCCGATATACCACATTTCCCTTCCCAGTTTATGATTTAGACGAGCCACCGGATGGCTCAACATAGAGTGATGTGCATGTACATACTGCGTTTATTTCGATATCTGAGCAAGCGAATCATGAATCTATGTTTCTACGTCTGACCATTAGTATCTCGCACATTAGTGACTATAACCGATTGGTGATCTGGTGTCTGGTAAGTGGTAAGGAAAAATTTCGACAGCGCCTAGACTAATCCCCCTTTAATTTCTGTCATCAACCTTAAATAAGTGAGCAAACTAAATTGGGTTCGCTCAATTTCACCAGCTAATCAAGCCTAGGCCGATAGCTCATGAACCACGGTTTAGCTTCGATCCTGAATATTCTAGAAAACTTTACAAACCCTCTCTGAATGGTGCCAAGTAGTTAGCTGGTGGATCGACCTTACAATCCCAGTGTCTCCGAACCGCTGAAATGCCTTCAAATTCGCCATCAGGCATCGGTCGGAGTCATTCGGGAAATCCCGGGTGATTGTTTTGTCCGCCGAGGATCTGCTCAGTTTTGCTTCACCGGAGTTTCGTTTCAGCCTGGTTCTCGTATACGTGATCCATTACTATCATTTGCTTCAGGTTATCAGCTGCAAAGATATCCATTTTGGATTGCAGTATCGTTGATCAGCACTGCTCCGAATCTTAGTGGTTATTTTCTATGTAGCACTGAGACTTCGCAATAACCATGATGATTACTGAGGAGTATGTCCCTTGTAAGGATCCACTGTTCCACTTGCACTACACAGTGGTGCTCTAGGTACCTTAATGTTCCCACTCTTATCTTTTGCCGTCTGTTCATCGAAAGTGTCCTATTGGCCAGTCATGTTGGATGACAGTATCCTTGAAGTAAGTGATCTCATTGCCCTACTCCCGCTCGACTATGACTTGATTTAAACAACTTGTCCATGCTGATCCTCACACATAGAGAGGTATGGCTTTATGTCATACTTTCGTCGATATGCCTCATCCACATGCACCAGGAAGTAGGTTCCTGGGGCAAGGCTCTCGACACTTCCCTTGGGAGTGTAGTTCCTCTGCTGATATGCCTCTTCGCGGAGTTTACACATCTACATTGTCAGCCGATGGTCAGAAACGCACATCATAACCAACTCACCTGATCATAGAATTCAGGCGACACTGCTGTTCGAGCGCTCAAGCGATCATGCAAGCCAATCTTCTGAGCTATCTCGGTCGTGTCGCMCTTGACACGGAAGCTGAACAATGTGCTAGCCAGACCGCTCCCGTAGCTGAACATGCCGATGCGCTTGTCCTGCAGTCGGTCGCTGGGGACATTGCTGATCAGGCTGATAAGGCCCGCATATACGCTGGCGGTGTACATGTTGCCGCAGTTAGTCGGAGCAGTCAATGACCGCTCGACGCGCTCGACGAATCGGCCCTTGGTGAGACTGACGCACAGCTTCTCCAGGCTCTTGTCCGTCAGCGACGCGGTAAAGTCGGCTTCTTGGACTTGTGCCGGCACCTCGTCAAACGATCCCGGCTCTAATTTGAAGTCGTTGAATAGCAACCGGCCGTACCCCTTGGCCACCAGCTTGCAGTTTGGCGCGTGGAAAGCGAAATAGTCAAAGGTGTCAAGGAAACTGCCATTGTGGCCGTTGCTGATGGCCACCCCGTTTGTCTTTGCCTCTTTCCGTGCGCGCTGCTTGGCCTGATACCGCTGGTAGCATGCGTCCAGTGCGCCCAGGTAGCAGGTATTGGAAAACTGCCCGTCGACCAGGGGGTACTCGGATTTGAAATCCGCCTTGTAGAAGTCATAGACGTGCTTCATGCAGGAACCCCGGAACGGCTCCAGCACCAGAGGGGCATCTGGCCCGATGAGCATGGCCACGCAGCCTGCACCGCCGGTGGGACGCGCCGCTGGCGTCTCATACAGGGCAATATCTCCGGCCACAACGATGGCGTTGCGGCCGTCCCAGGCCGAAGACTCGATCCAGTTTACTGCATTGAGCAAGGCGTTGGTCCCACCATAGCAGGCGTTGTATGTGTCGATGCCCTCGATGTCAGTGTTGTCGCCGAACAGCTGCATCAGCACTGTTTTGCAGGACTTGGCTTTGTCTAGCAGAGTCTCGGTTCCAACTTCGAGACGGCCGATGGTGTTGGGGTCGATCGAGTATTTGCGGAGAAGGGAGGATACAGCGGTCAGGGCAAGAGAGTAGAGGTCTGAGCTGTTAGTCGTTGATGCTGCTTCCATTGGATGGTTTGCTAACCTTCACGATCATCGCAGAAGCTCCTGTTCTGTTGACCAAGTCCGATAGTGTATTTCCCTGCACTGGCTCCGAGGAATGTCTCCAGCTCCGTCTGGGGGACATACTGCACTTCTGTTAGTCAAGCTTTAAGCAACTGCAACAGAAGAGGTAATGCTCTGGGCGGACTTACTCGACTAGGGAAATAAATCTCAAGGGCTTTGATGCCCACGTTCTGAGCCGAGGAGGGCATGCTTGGTCGAACGATTGATATTCCTGACTCACTATTTGACTGATGAAATTGGGTGCAGAAACTCGATTATCAGGTAATGGAGAGCAGCTTCAGGACGCAGTTCATGTTTTTATAACGTTCATAGCATCTATAATAAGGGGGCTGAGGGGTGAACTGCAGGCAGCTGTGATGGGTCCTACAGTGTACATTGGAGCATCATCTGCAGCTTTTGCTGTTCCTTTCAACCGAGACCGGATCTTGCCTTGCCTTTTGGGCTGGAATGTTGCGTTACAAGTAGATGGATAAGTTAATATTATTGGACATTGGATGACAGTTTAAACTGGGTTCTGCTATGGTGACGGCATCTCGCGTTACGGTCTATGTAGGCACAATGCTGTTGTTGGACCTACTAACTACCCGCAAAAGACATTACTATGGTACTTCCTCTGCAGTCAAAATAAACAGGACTCATAGTGATAGGATATTTGACAGAAATCCAACTGTAAAGGGATAATTCAGGCGAAGATTTACCCGTATCCAATACTTATCGCCGCTGAAATATATTAAAAATCATGGATCATCTAAGAACCCCCTTGCAGTTTTCCTTTTCTTTCAGGTTTCCAGACATCATGGATTATATGAATCTGGGAATTCTTGATGCCTTACTCAAGAGAGATGGACAGTAGAGGGGGATGTATTCAATTCGCCTCGAGTAATATCAGTATCGGTTCCAGCTAATGAGCTACTCATCCGTCTCTATAAACACCGAATATGAAAGAATGCGCTATCAATGAGACATTTGCTCTCCAGTAGATTGCATATCTATTTCCCACAGCAAGTGTTGCTCATTGCCTGGAAAGAACAAGTCCCTCACCAAACAGGCAGAATTCCATATATCGCGCTATGTGGCCCGTTCATCTTCTTTCTGGAGCTCTGCGGAAATTAGAATGGATCGATTGATGCTTATACGTCCCTCCTATGCGAGACTCGCCAACGTCACAGAGCACAGTGTGACCCAATAGTCGTTCTTGGGCCGGCTAGACGACTGGCTCAAGTAAATCGTGCGCTTGTTGTTAGTACCTTTCGACGGGATGGATTGTTTATTACTTCGTTTTCAAATCTGGCAGCATACTTGTGTCGTTGATAAACTAGTTCTGTCCGTCGTACCTGATGTGTGGAGGCAAGGTATTATTGATACTTGAAGGCATCGCTTTCCCGTAACAGCCTCTAATCTTCAGCTCCAGCTTGGCCATAAGGTTGACCCTCGTGAAACCCAATGGTCAATACTATTCGGGTTCTTCCTATTAACGCTGAATATCTGAGAGACATATTGACGGAGAATGCCATATAACTTCACTGCTCACAGCTGAGAACCGGAGATCTCCCTATAATTCGTCCATTACCTCTTATATCGGTAACTTCCTTATAATCTTCACAAAGGAGACCGAATTCACTAGCTGTAGTAGCATCCACGTGATATGAGTATAGATCTATATAAACCGTTTTCATCGACCTTCTTCTCTTCTCTTCCTCTATCTTACAGAGACATACCAGCAGCAAAATGACTGCCCCAGACGCGACTGTCATGATCTCATCTCCTCCCGTTCATCACGATGTGGACATTCCTGAAGCATCCCCTTCGCTACCGTTCAATGTGCTTCCATTGGAGTGTCGACAGCAGATTTTACGTGACCTTCCAGACATTGAATCGCTCAAATCCGCCATAATAAGTCATCCCTTCTTGTACTCGGCTTTTTACAATAACAAGACTCCAACCATATTGCAAATCATTCAACGTCAAATACCCAGAGAGCTACTCGCATACGCTGTCCTGTGCTCCCATGCACGGAATATCGAGCCATGGACGAGGTCAAAAGTCCTCGATATCCTAGACCTGTACTTCAACCGTCGCCTGGTTGACTCGTTCAACTGGACTATAGGAGCGGCTCTGGATCTGGTGACCTTCCATGAAAGTGTGACCTTTTTCACCAATGATTATATCGACAACGCTCTGGGTCTCGTCGCGCCTTTGCATTTTCCCATCCACGCACCCTCCGAGACCGAGTGGTGCCGTGTCGCTCGGGCATTCTACTTACAGGAGACGATCAACCATCTCTTCTGCTTCCGGAGCCGAGAAGACCGCTGGATCAGTGGCGGCATCAAATATGCACGTCCATCGCCCTCTGAATTCCTGCCTCGGGAAAAACTTGAAATATTCTTCAGCAAGCACGCGCCCTGGGAGATGGAGCAAATCGGCGCAGTTAATGAGTACTTGTACTGGAAAATCTCACCAGATATGTTGATTTCCTGCTGCGTTCCTTGTTTCGGTCGACATCTCCTGCTGACTCTACGTCACATCCAGCTTTTAACCACATCGCAGCACACGACGTCGAGTTGGGTTACTATACCGTCTATTTCTCAGACAACGAGACTTGGGAGTCTGTTATGGGAAGTCAACACAAGAGGGGTTTTGTAAGTAAGCTCTCAGTCCCACTATCTGACATATTGCTAAGTGTCTGACTAGCTACTAAAAGAATTGACGGCCCTTCATCGGTTTGTCGCTAGAGCCAACAATAACAGCCGCCTCGGGCTTATCTCGATTCGGAACTCACGCTGCTCGAACTGGCTTTTGGTCAACGAACTCGAATACTTGCAGAGACTCTCTGTACAGKGCTTTGGGGGTACGTTCTACCGAGATCTTACACCTGAACAAATTGCCGAGGTCGTGGGAAAGTCCTTTACCTACGACAGCGACTGCGGCCCCCAACAGGCATGGCAATGGGCCCATCGCGATTCTCGTTGCTGTCAATTAATTTGTTCGACGGAGCAGCGCGAGCTTCGTCGATTTGGATATGTCATGTGGGACAACCAGCGTCTCCAGCAGTGGAGAGCTCTGGGGGCTGCTTTCCAGGCGCCTCAGGAAGACGATGACATTCGGACGGGCAGACGCTGGATGGCCATGTGGCCGTTAATTGAAAAAAGACGGAGGATGTACGAACATGGGGCGCGCGGTTGGTGGGACGGCGAAGATGGGGAAGGAATAAGATGGATTCACGGGGTGAAATCACCAAAAACCCAGCGGAGACTGTTGCAGTAGCTGAAAATTGATTACTACGGGGCGTTGTCAATGGAATCTAAGTCTTGTATTTTGAAGTCACATAGCAATGTCTTAAACATGATGTTGGTACACAATGGATGGCTCATTACCTAGTGGACCATAGCACATCTCCAGCATCTGAGTCTCAAGGTAACCCACAAGTAGTACTCCGTTACCTCTGGAATCAATGACAGCTATGATGTCCCTTTGCTGGCTGTGCCCGTTGGCTATACTGCGACCAAGCTAGTAGACATGCACAAATAATTGCTCGTCGTAGGTTGCTCTTGCTGAGGCCTTGCCGACTAACGCTCCACGCCAGGGTCAAGACGGAGACGGCCAAGAAGAAGGGACGAAGTTTGTGAATGCCTGCTGCGGTCACTGAACCCGCAAAGACAAAGTCTAGAACTGTCTGTGTAGCAGTTAGTTGAGGGCTCGACTATAGTTATGTGGTGGAACGAACTGGTAACCAGCAGCACGAACTGGACAGCAGTGCTGAGCCTTCAGGGAGAATCGCTGACATCCACCGAAGAGCACGAGCAGTGAGACCCTGGTCTGTGGAATCGGACTGTGAGGGTTTTTCGGAGGAATGGCAATTATGGCACGACATTTTGATCTTTGATGCAAGTAAAATGCCGACTGATCAGAATACTGCTGGAATTGACGTTGGGTTCTTATAATGTGGCCAGGCTGTTATTTCCGCCCTAGCGGAGTTTGATATCCAGCGCGAAAGAATTGCCAAATCGGGTTAAACAACGCGATAATCTCTCATACTACGGACGGAGTAGAGACTGAGACTGGGTAGTTTTGATGATTAGAGGGCATTTGATAGAGAGTATCCTTTAGATCATCTGACCGAAATGCTTGAGACGGGGTTCAATTATATATGTGTCTCCTGCCTAGACATACCTCCATCCCTTTCTCAGCTACCCCTTGATACCAAGCTCTTCTTCTCTGTCCACGTTACAACTCACACCTTATTCTTATCCCTCGAAGACCTTTTGCGATTTGTATACAATTTTTCTCTCCTTCTCCAGTCCGCCATTTGCCATAAAACCTTCACCAAATTCTCGCCATCCACCACTGTCATAATCGCATCTCCAAAATAGTTCAGCCCGGTGCCGACATACGGTGAGAGGCATGTGCATCTCCAGAAATTTGGAAAGGTGTTAATCCGATCGTAACGACGCCGTTCAATATGGCGGCCGTAGTGGGAGTGTTCTCAATGCAATCTTGGGGGAGACTCGCCTCGAGGATGCATCTATTCTTCCTCGGTCACGCTGATGTCGTACAGTCTACGGGGTGGCCACTAGCGAAAGCACTTGTTTAGAGGTTATAATCGAATAAGATTAGTTTGATACAAATACATATAGTACAGATAGACATCATAACTCGGGTATCTCATCATAGCTCATGCAAAGTCCTTAATAATAAGCACGACGATGATGGCTTCCACGTCCATCAGTGCCATGCATGCGGCGAGTACCAGCGGCCTATAAGACCAGTCAGCTTATCATTTACGCGATCAACAGCAACAATCATACCTTTACTGCTGGCCGATTTGTCAAGGTGCCTTTTAACTTCAGCATAGCTCCCGACACCTTGTCTCCCAGTGTGACCTTTCGACGGTGGTGATGTACGGGAGCAGTGGCATTGGTACGACCGTAGGCGCCCCTATGGCGCGTCGAGGTAGTCTTCGTCTTGACTGTCCGAGTGCGAGCATTAGGACCACGAAGACGAGTCAATAGACTGGGCTTGGAGGTACGAGTGGTGGTCGTGGTGGGACGATGACGACGGAACATTGTGATAGATGTACTTTGGTAGATATCTGATGAAATGGTTTGTGTAAGTATTTGGATCAGATGGATAATGCTGAATGGTAAACTTTATCTCCAGATTGATGTAGTTTATATAACATCTTCTACCCTTTTGGGAGACATCATGGTGGGTGCCACACAACGTATGCCAAGGGATCTACATCTTCCAGCAGGTAATATGACAGCCCTTGAACTAACGCCCGCACGTCATTTGGGATCATCGCTACGTCGGCCCCGCAACTATATTACTCTATCGGGGCTTAATTAGTGTACTTAAATTATAGACGGCAAGGATCAATAGCCCACAGGACGCCCTTTGTTCATGATCCTTCGATATAGAGTAGGGCTGGAATGACGTCATTGTGGCTGGTGGCCATACAGTCCACTTCGCTGCATGGCTGTCAAATAAGATGTGCTATGAAGTAATATGATCTAGGCATGTGTAAGGGGATATCCTCCGTCATTAGTAGGGATGGTTGGTAGTCGTGAGATAGCTTTAGGCAGATGGATATGGACATTCTACCTCTGCATACCTACTGTTGGGCAGGGGAAAGCTCTGCCACAAAAACCACAGGAACATGTCTTATAGGAAATATGTGACATATTATAGAAGCTTACAGAGTAATAGAGTAATAGTACATCACGCAAAGGCATAGTTGCAAATTACCATTGCGCTTCGGACCCTAGTTTGAGAGCTTGTCCGCTGGTCAGACGGAGCTTTATACCATTAACGCGTACAGCCCTGTTAGTTTCAATTGACAGAATACAGCAAAATGAAGATCATGCAGCTGCATCCACTGCCTTCAGTGTCTTCCCCAATGCAGCAAAGTTCCTCTTCGTCGCATTGGCAGTGGACTCCTCCCCCGTCACCAATCATTCTCGAAAACGGCTTGACCAATGCACACTTGATAACTCTTTTCTGGAACCTCCCAAAAGATCCTTAGCGCGGATCAGTCATTGAGCACGCTGTGTAAATCAAGCGGCGCAGTAAAATGCGCCTTGGATGCTACATATCCTGCTACATAAGATTTATAGAGTGCGTACAGTAGAATTCCATGGAAGCCGATAGTGGGTCTGTACAAATCATGTTAACAGGCTGGCCTCGTCCTCCTAGTCCTGCCAGCACTATCTACTGCCACACTCGAGCTGTCTGGCTTACCAGACAACCGTCGATCCTCGCCCCATTTCAAATCATAGATTCTTCAATCTCTGTTCTTCCTAATTCATCATCCGATGGCTGTTTCATCACAGGGAACCCTTGGGCTTCTCTTCTTAGCAATGTCTCTTTTTTCCATTTCCAAAATCCAGACTCTCTGTCATTTGTGGGTAAATGACCCATCGTACTACCTGGACCGGCAAACCGTAGGCGAGCTAGCCAAGCTGCTAGATCAAATTCATAATATAGTTGTCCATCAACAAGCATTCGGATAGTCCCAATATGCTCATATATAGGCTGTCCGAATTCGGAGGTATGATAACTCATATGAAGAAGACCGCCTATCCAGCCCTGCAGATATTCACAGAGCCACTCCGGACGCGTTGTATATGATGACAATGTCTCTGAGATTTCACTTTGGTCTCTCCGATCGCGACCCCAATGCCGCCCCGACCAATGCTCGTATGTGACATCTTCTGGTGGGAAGGCAAGCTCTAGTTCCGCAGACTGGAAATCGAGAACAAGTGTGTCGATCAGCATCCCGCGGTCCTCAAATTCCTGCGTGGTCCGACGATATTCAGATGACTCGTCTTCCTCTTCGCGTCTTTTTTCTCCCACAGGACCATAGCGGAGAAACCGCTCTAATGCAGCATAGAATGACCAGTGGAAGCCTAGCCGGCCACCAGCGCCGAGTTGGCTACGGACAGTGCGCTTCTCAATGATGTGACCAAAAAGACGGACATTCGCGTAGAGGGTCGATATGTGCGTTGTGAGACATGGCACCGACAGCCATGTCAGAAAGAGATCCAAGTCATCCTTGACTGAAATGTCAAGGATATAGTCGACTTTCCTGCGTCCAAGGATCACCCGAGTCTCAGTTGAAATTTGATGATTTGTGAGAAGAAGAGACAGACAGCCTGAAGAACCAGCCATGCTCGGCTGCGTATAATAAGCCTTGCTACCCCTTGAAACCCATGCCTTGTACCTAAGATCGTTGTATTGGATTGCATCGGATTGAAGCGGAGTCACGGGCGGGCTGAGCGGCGTATAGAGCACATGTCCAATGATGAGCGTTCGGAGCTCAAACGGGATTTTAAGCAACAGAGACATGGATAGGTTCAAGGTCTTTGGAGTGAGTATCTTGGAGAAATATAGTCAACTCGCAAAGAAGTTCAAGATGTCGATCTGTTCCTGCGCAGATGAGGCTGTAGTTGACGCTGACCGTCTCGAGTGCCCCAAGACTCCTGCTGTGAAACTCTTGACACAGGAATCGAGTAGAAAGAGAATATGTGCCAGGAGACCATACGTCCTGTACTATGCCAGTTTACGCCTTTATAGTAATTCGTCGGAGTACAGTGATGCAGCAAAAGTTTTAAACAACACCCTTCAACTCAGGGGTATTCGGCCAGGCAACCATCGTTGATTGCCTCTGCGGGGTGCAAGTCTCCGAATTCTTATCTCCCTTACGAGTCATGCGGGCCTTCTAGGAACTAGGCACCGTGGGATTTTCGCTTGTGTCCAGTACGGGTTTCCATGGGATTCTTGTAGCCACTGCTTAATTTTACAAGGTCAAGTACTGTAACAATAGCATACAAAGTGCATGTTACTGCGCCGCTTGATTTACACAGCCCGCTCAATGACTGATCTGCGCTAAGATCTTTTGGGTGGGCCCAGAAAAGAGTTATCAAGTGTGTATTGGTCAAGCTGTTTTCAAGATTCAAGAATAACTGGGGTACGTCTTAAAAGGACCCTGAATCAACAAGTCCTTGAAGGGCTGGTTAAAATACGTTAATCACCCTTTTCCCCGGAGGCCTTCATTCGATGAAATGTCGATTTGAAATCTGTCGTCTGATGCAATATTGGTAAATTGCCCAAGGTGCAAACAATATCTCCAGTGTGCTCGTTGAGTTGGATCCATTCATCACCGATTCCAAACTTGGTAACCACTTCTCGATCTGGACAGATCTCCAGCCCACTCTATCCTTCCTTCTGAAATTAAGATTCAGAGAGTTCCAGTTCGCAATGCGCTCCGGCCCGGTGGTATGCCTTGCCGTTCGACTCATCGGTAAAAGTAATGCAGAGACGCTTGATGGTCTTCTTCACCGGGCGGGGAATATCATAACACTTGATGAAGAAGTGATCGTCAAATTCCGGTCTTCAAAAAAATCAGCGCATCAATTGCTCCGATACCTATTGCACGCGGTGAATGAACGCCAGCGACTTGGTCTTCAAACTAGGGAGATGCTCGTCGATGATTCACAGGTTGGCCACATTCTCACCAAACTGCAGCTGATGCGACTCCTTAGTATCTGATCGGCCTGTTGAGGATGGATCTGTGAGACTTTCTCCCATTCGACGTTGTGTGCGTTCTATAGGACTGTAGCTTAGATATCGTCGGGCAGGACAAAGAAGCTCTCTGGTGCTGAACATCTCCCCAATCTCCTGGTTGGAAATGCCATGATCCGCCAGTGTAAAGAATCTAACACTCTCACTGGCGTTCAGGGCTTGGACCTTGTCGGTATCATCGACAACTATGGCGAACAGGATCGCTTCCGGATAATGGATCGACAATCGGAGCCGAATCCAGACTGCCGCCGATGAATTTCCGTGGCGTATAGAGACATTGGGCAATCACTGTGATCTCTCGCACTACCATTTGGATTGAAGTATGCGGAGGGACAGGATAATATCTTCTCCTTAGCTGCTAGCTATGTTACATAAGTGAGTATCTGGTCGGCAATGATCTTTCTTTGTCCGTCGTAAGCGTGCAGCCCCTGTGTCTGGAAGAACAGCGTCATGCCACTGAAGCGGACTGCTCATATAGTGACCCAAAGTGACTCGACGAGTCAATGACTGGTCCCTGGGATTACAGACCGACTTCCCGACCTCCCAGGGGCTGTAGGCGCTTAGTGTCATTTCACTTAGTGCCATTTTATATTGCGCCGCATCTAATTCCCAATGAGATCAAGCATACATGTTGGTTCCCCACTTCAGCCTGGTCTCTCTAATTGACTATGAGCACGATGTAACGTCGATATTAATTCTGTATGGCGAGGCTGAAAATCCCCTGATTGCCTTGACACTTTTCGAGCTGCGCCGCAAATCGGTTCAGATCCAGATTTCAGTCCGCCATGAGACACGTAGTGGCCTATGCCAGTGCACTATGCTTATAGCTGAAGAGTATACATCATGAGGAAGGGACTCTTGTCCTTACTATCTTTTGCCATTGAGACAAGTAGTGTCGTTGCTCTTGGCAAAGGAGATAGCCCGGCTGTTGTTGAGCTCCAATTTAACCGGCAACGGAACGATGACGTTCTCGAAACACATCGCTCTCCGTCGAAGCGTACCTCGATACTATCTGAAGGGATACTAAATGAGGTATGTCGCTTTGAGTTCACTTTGACACCCGCAATTAACGTCACAGGATGCCATGACGCTATACACAGCCAATGTCACCGTTGGCAGCTCAGAGCAAGAGATCGCCGTGGTACTAGACACTGGAAGCAGCGACACGTGGTTCAACATTCCCTCGTCGAACTTTTGCAAGAACATGGCAAATGACTGCGAACGGTATGGGATCTATGACAATAGCTCATCCAGAACCTACACATTCCTCAACCACGACTTCAACATCACATATAATGACGGGACGAAGGCGACGGGGGACTATGTCAAGGATACTATTCAGTTTGGCGGAGTGATGTTGAGTCAATTCCAGTTTGGCGTAGCAGAGGAGAGCACCTCAAATCGTACGCTTCTCCATACATGCCCAAATCAACATGCACTGACTGTAATGCAGAAGGAACATTGGGTCTTGCATTTCCTGCGCTTGAAGCTACTCGCACTGAGTATTCCAACTTTCCCCAAGCCCTGGCGCAAGCTGGTCACATCAAGTCAGCCACATACAGTCTCTGGATGGAGGATGTAACCTCGCACAGTGGGACGATTCTCTTTGGAGGCGTGAACACGGCAAAGTATCTGGGACAGCTGCAGACAATTCCCCTCCAGCCCGCTGGCGGCGTGTACACGTTCTTCCGTGTCATATTGACCGGGCTCGCTTTGCAACAGCGCGCGTCAAACGCAACCACGTATCCAGATACCGAGTTTCCACTTCTCGTCACCATCGATACAGGAGCAAGCGTGACTTATCTACCCAAGTCGCTGACCACAAAGATCTACTCCAGTCTGGGAGTCACACACAATGCTGTGTACGATGTCCCGGTACTACCGTGTTCCGTGAAAGACAGAAACATTACTATGACGTTTGACTTCTCCGGTATCCGTATCGATGTCAATATCCACGAGCTCGTTTTGAACGGGATCGACATGGACGGAGACACTGTGATGTGCGTGTTCGGCATCTATACAAGTACCAGTGGAATCCCCATACTGGGCGATACTTTTCTCCGTAGCACGTATGTCGTCTTTGATTTAGCTAATCGCGAAATCTCGATGGCCAACGCAAACTTCAATCCCGGGGAGGATGCCATCCTCGAAATCGGGACAGGCAAGGATGCGGTGCCCGGTGCGACTCGGGTGCCGTCACCGGCTACCACGGCGGTGAATATGCCGACTGCAGTGCCTTTGACGGCGGGAAGAGAGGGAAATCATGGCAGTATAGCGATTAATGTAGAGATGGATGTGAAGCTGCTTTTCGCTGGCTTGATTGTCTCTCTTATGTCCGCTCCTGTATAGCTTTGTTTGTCGCTTGATGTTACGAGCGATATCCATATAGAATATCAAGGACTCGATTGCAGATACTGCATAAACGCTTCATCGATTTCCGGCGTCTTGTCGCCAATCCGACTCATCTCAGCGTAGTTGAAGTCACTGTACGATTGGTCATCCGGCCACATGTCAACAAAGGCCTCCGTGTCGGCCTTTTCGGCTGGCACAAAAGTATCCACGGTCGCTGCTGGGAGATTCAGGTGCTGTGTGATGGGTTGCAGCATGGACGGCAAGGTCTGTCCCACCTTTGTTAACAGCAATGGCAGAAACCGTTGTCGTCCACCAGGGAGAGTGTTCACAAGTGTGAAGAAATGCTTCAAGTAATCTTGCGGGCCCAAGTTGAACCCCGACGAGCGCAGTCCTGCCGTCGATAGGCAAGCCATTACGTCGGTGAGGGTGCAGGCCACTTCGAAGATTTTCTCAATCTGTCCCAGCTAATCAGCACGGTTCTGTACGGAAGGGAAGGGTTCACCAACCAGTCCAATCCCATGCGTTTCCATACTTTGCGTTGACAGCTTCCACGTCGCCAAAGACAGGTCTCGGGCGATCTGTAACGGATACCGAAATTCCATGCACGGATGGCTGGCTTTGCTGGACAGAAAGCCCGCTGTGGTGGATAATTGCCAGATCATGGTTCGCAACCACTGCTGTGAGACACGGAGGTCTGCCATGGGGATATCGGGAAGCTCCAGGTCGGGGGGAACTGCATCACAAATGTGTTTGTCGAGAAGAATGAGCGACTCGCGTGAGCATGTGGCGTGCGTACCGTTCCAGAGCCCCAGAAAAGACTCGTCGAACGGGCGATAAAGGTCAGCCAGACAGCGAAATCCAATACTGGTTGGGTCTTGAGCTGAGGCATCTTCAAGAGTTGGACTGTTGGCGGTGACCTGTAAGGTGACGGGCCGATGTCTTCGAATGGCATGAGCTCTGTTCGAATTAGGATTATTCTACACGAGTCAAATGAGTGAAAATACCGTTCCGAAATCAGAAGCAGCCAGAAGAGCTTTCCAGCCAAAGAGGAATCGTCCTCATCACCATCTAATGCGCCTGATTGGGCATCCAACATGCCAGCAGTGTACAAGGTGGTGGCTTCCCGTAGGTAATAGTACGCGTGGCGCTGATTCCCCAACGCGATATGACAGCCGTACAGAAGAAACGCGATGGTGATGCTCTGCCGGACAGGAACAGTGAGCGGATCAAGATGCCTTCGCGCTTCTGTCGCTTCATCGAGCAATTCGCACCCGGTGTCCATACTCTGGGCCCATCTCGAGCCTGCGGCTTGGGAGAAGGAATACCCCGTCTGCATCATGACAAAGGCACAGAAGGAAACCACCAAGCAATACGTATGGATGCAATGATCCATCTGCTCTACATATCTCTGGAAGGTTTCCGCCTGTAGAATGGGAACTGTGCCTTGCATGCGCGCGAAGAAGTACTCGGAGCAATCCCTGATCAGCTCCTTAGGAAGAAGATTTTCCTTGCGCCCAAATCGACATCGTCCGCTGGTTGGATTCACAAGGGAAGTAGCCACTTTTGGAGCTGGAATAGTAGAGTTAGATGGCTCAGTGCCTTGAGCATTCTGTGTGCGTAATTCAGAGAGAACATTGGCCGACTGGCCTTGCCGCCCTTTCTTCTGTCGGACCAGCGATGTTCGACAGCTTAGCCCGGCCGATCGACACTGGGTGCAAGGTCTCTGGGCGTTGCATTTGACTTTGCGACGTCGGCACGCATCGCAGGCTTGCTTGACCATCTGCGTGTCGCGGGGCATCTTTTAGATCTGATTGCTAGTTGCATGATTGAGGAATTAATTGCGGGGAGAATTGGAAAACGGAGAAAAAATGGGGGAATTCCCGAGTCACCCCACGCCAAGACTGACCGTATAAAGGCATCGAAAGGAGACCTAATGTTAGTGTGGCCTAAGTCAAGAGGCCATGGGGCGAGTAACTGGTGTTAGGGGCCGATTTACAGTGATTGGACTTGATCGTTAAGACATTAATGCTGACTGAATCAAGGAAAGACCTATCCTGGACTTCAAAACAGATGAACGCGAAGCAGGAATCATTTTGGAAACACTCTATCACTGTCCATCGATGGCCGTGCCGGATTCGCACGCGTTGGCGAACAGTTTGCCATGAAGACTCCGTACATATCCCATTTGTAAATAGATGATCATACCACCATGACAGCTCCTGCAAATGCCAACCACGCTGGTAGATCTGCAACTAACATCCTAATGCGATGAAATCCCAGCCATTCTTCCATCTCCACTGTTGCTCCATTCTCGTTGCTGTCCTCGACTATACGTTGGATCCGAGGCGCCACAAACGGCACGAAGAAGAGATGCGCCACGGCACCCGCAACGCCGGCCCAGTAGAACGTTGTGCGCGACAGGGGCAGGGCACTGCGTGACCGACTCAGTAGAATATTCGATACACCGGTGGAGATGGTGGCTAGATTAAGTGCAAGCACGGAGACGATCTGGCGATTGAAGATGTACGTGTACCATTTTGGCAGGACAGCGTCGGAGGATTTCCGGATAGACGGTTGGACGAAGGCTGAGTTGGAGAATAGCTCGACCAGGGCATGCACGAGGCTGCCTGTGCTGGTGGCTAATGGCGCGACGCGGAGTAGCTGGAGGGGATCGAAGATCAGTCCGGAGGCCATGCTGTCTATTCGGTTCTGAAGCTTAATTCTGTGGCAGCAATCCAGTAGAGAATTGATTCAGGAGAAGTTGCGGATGTGAGGGGATTAAATAAACAAGGCGAGGGGCCAGTGGGGCCAGCGTAAGACCTAATGCAACGCTATGCAGGGATGCATCAGGCCACACGAAAGTGTTTAAACATTGGTTACTTTGATTTCAAAAAGATAATAGATAATCGAGATATATTTTATAAGCCGAATTAGTCCTTGTGGTGCTCCTCTCTTACCTCCACGTGTTCCTCCTCGCCCTCGTATGGATCAACCACTGTGTCCCTGAACTTGCGCGCCGACACCCCTTGCTCGAACAGCAGATCCAATTCCTCATAAGTCCTTCCCTTGGGCTCCGGTAGGCGAAAGTACGACCAGACCAAGCAGACAAGACATGTTCCAGCCCAAAAATATGCGCTGCGGGCACCCCAGTTCCAAGCCGTCGAGTTGAGCTGATAGTTTGTGAGCACATTGACAACAATATTACTGACGTTGTATCCGACTCTCGCCAGCACGATAGTCTTGGCCTTGAGTCGGGTGGACGACAGTTCCGACACCAGCGAATACGTCACGGGTCCGATAGTAAAGTCGTAGCAGAAGGTAAAGATAATCAACATCGCCCCGATCGCCCACTTGGCTGCACTGTCATCTCCCGGCGCAAAGGAAAGACTACCTGTGATCACAAGCAAGGTGAATAAGCTTGCCAGACCGCCGATGTGCAGTGTGCGACGACCGGTGTAGGTCATTAGGAACCACGACCCCGCGGTCCCAATGAAACCGAGGGCATACTGCGCCAGCGAGAGATCGAAGGAATGCACCGTCGGGAGACCAGCCTGGACGCAAAAGTACGCAAAGTAGCCCATGAGGTTCTGCCCGCACAGTGTCTGGACCAGCCAAACTACACAGACAACTTCTGTTCGGCGCAGGTTCGTCCCCTTGAAGCAATCGGTGTACTTTGTGCCGCTCGATAGCGCCTTTTCTAGCTCGTTCGTATGCTGGATCATGGCGATGGTCTCGTCGGGGTCGAAATTCGGATCGTTGGAAGAAGTAAGCCGCTGTAGAGCCCGTTTAGCGCCCTGGAGATTACCCCGTCGGACATGCCACCAGGGTGATTCGGGTGCGAAGAGGATTCCAATGAGGATCGGGAGAGGCCACGCCCACTGCACTGCAAAGGGAATCCGGTACGCCCACTGGTCGGTTCTTTGTATGGATCCACGATTCACACCTACCGCGACGAACTGCCCAATCACCCAACACATGTTGATAAAGGTCGTCAAGTACGGGCGGAGGACAACAGGACACACTTCAGAGGCGTATGCGGCGGGTAAAGTCTGGAAGATGCCCCAGGGGATACCGGCCAGAATCTCTGCAGCGAGGAGCATTTTGATATCGACAGCGAAGAAGAAGAGGAAGATAACCGCGTTCATTGCCGCCAGCGCAGAAACCATAGTCCAGCGGTATCCCAGTCGTTCCGAAATCAGACCGTTGATGAGCAATCCGATGACTTCGCCCACTCGGGCCCCGTTGGAGAGTGCCGATTGCCACGAGGCGGGGACCGTCCATTTGCCGGATGCAGACTGCACACCATATTTCTTATTGAATGCTGGAGACGCGTACATGGAGCCGAGTAGGGCCAAATCGTATCCTTCCATGATCAGTGCTGACGAGAGGAGGACAGACCAGCCCACGGCCTTGGGATACAAGCGAACCGCTTGCCAGAGCGTCATGGACTGTTCCTTGCGGGCGGCTTTCTTGCCCTCCACGAGAGGTCGAGGCTTTTCTCCCTCCATAGTGTCTGGATTGTTGGACATGGTCATATCGCGACTGGATTTTAGCAAGACGGCCAGCAAAGCACACTCGAGTGCTAGACGGGCCTGGCTGCAGTTGGAGGACATGCATGAGATCCTGAGACCTATGGCACTATTTATATTCAGTATATCTGCATATCATGAGGTCCATTCTTCTCTCGAGATGCGCCAGGAAAGTCAAGGACCCTTTTAATGCACTAAGATCCGGGGAATTTTGCTTTACCCCACATATATTTCCATGTGGGGGTTCAGCAGAAGGACTAGTACACGAGCTTTCTCCTTTCCAATTGGCTACGGCGATGCAAGTCGGCCTCTACTCGGAGGCAAGGCGGATGCAAGTCGGAGCGGCGGGCAGGTAGCTGTCGTTATCATCGCTAGAGACACTGGACATTGTTTGACTCATATCAAGGTACAAATTTTTCAGACTCGTAAAATAAGGGTACATCGAGGGACAGAGAGACTATAGCCGCCGTGACAAAAGCTAACTTTGCGCTTCCGTTAATCTACCTGAACCCAGCCCAGAAGACTGTCTATGGGATGCGATGTGTTGGTGATTACCATCGTGCCATCCATCTATGGGGTCTAAGGCCTTCCGGTGCTTGCCACGATCGGATCCAACCAGGCAATGTTGGGCTGATGACCATCGGGGGTCATGAACACGTCAATGGGACGAGCATACGGCGCCACCTGCTTTCTGTCCAAAATCCGGGTGACATTGCCATTCGTCTCCGCGGTCTGATTGTATCCAGGCCCATAGACACCGTACACCGCCATCAAGGTCTCGCTGATGAAGTTGTTATTGGGTGCTCCCTTCCACACCGTGTATCCTGCAGGTAAAATGCTGGAGTCGAAGTATGTGTTCATGAAGATCGATCTGTGGAGGTTATTCCAGGGACGTCCCAGCGAGCACTGTCCCTTGATGTCGTTTACAATAGATGAATTGGCTGCGACGACCTGGGAATCGGCAATGTAGACACCGTATTTGTTCTCGAAAGTGGTGTTGGTGCCCTTCCAGGCCGTAATGCCGCCACCACATCGGCGCAGGGAGAGGGTTGTCTTTTCGATGAATGCCGTGCCGAAGCCGTAGAGAAAGTCGGTCTGGCCCGCAATCACGTTGTCGTAGAAATAGGCATTAGCAAGTTTTCCCACGTACAACTGTATTCGTTAGCAGTGACCTGTACAGATTTTTCAACAACGTACAGTATCCTGGTAGCTGTAGAGACCACAAGAGTAGAATCCTGCGTTTGTATAGCCCAAGCCAACGGCGTGGGCAGGTCCCTCTGAATATGGAACATACTCGTTGCGAAAGTCGATGTTGTACGCCCGGAAGTCGGAGCACCCAAAAGTTGTGTTGGCAGGCACCGGATATCCTGTTGGGCCTGCACCGGTAATGGTCGCGTTATAAGTGGGACCGACAGTCAGAACGCCGGTGTAGACATTGTCCGGGAATGCACTGTTGTGGTTGGCTGCGTTCCAGTAGATCTGAACCTCGTTCTGGACGGTGGTGTTCGTGTTGATATAGCCATAGCTCTCCCCCTGCCAGGGGCGATTCGACTGGCCCAGGAGCGTGAGAGGCCCAGAGCGTGTCACATTGAGCTGCTCCACATAGGTTCCAGCGCCGATGAGGATGACCTGGCAAGAGGTATCATTGGGCAGCGAGTGGATGGCCGCCTGGATAGACTTGAAATGAGCTCGGTCGTCGGTCTGGCTGACAAAGAGAGTGCCGTGGGGGCAGCCCTGAAGAGGATCAGGTGTGATTCTTTGGCAGGATTTGTATGTTTCTGCTGGTCGAGTACCCTTTCCGAGAGCTTCAGGGAGCAAGCCTAGGGCAAGAAGAGCGGAAGATGGCCTCATTTTGTCTATTTTCTGGACAGTGAAGCAATTACACAGTCTTCTCGGTGGGAAACTGCTCCCTTGATAAAGAGCCCTGGGAAAATTGCGGACAAATTCGAAATGAAGCTATGTCCGTTGTGGAGCCGAAGGAATGAGCTATAGATCCTCCTAAGATTCCCCAAGCTTTCTGAGGCTTTATCCGCGGATAATTCAGGGCTCTTGGAATTATTCCTCCAATGAGCTTGTATCCCCGGTGGAGGACCCCGCATAAATTGTCAACGGAGAGATAAAAGCCTCCTCAATTTAAGTTGATTGATGATAGTCAGTATGGGGTAGAATGATCTCTATCCAATTAATTAGGCAATGTTCTTCAAGTAACCGGGGTAGTGGGTACACCAATGTCTCAAATAAATCACAACATGAACCGATCTGGAAGTCGTCAACTGGCCGGAAGGAAGATGACCTACAATTGTTGAGATTATACATTCTCAGGTCATGGAAATGACGGTGCCTAAGGGAAGAGTACAACCCAGATATTCGAAAATAATCTTTATACAAGTGAGAGGACGGCAAACCAACAAGGTACACAGTGTAATGATCAAAATTTGTCTCCACTGTCTGCTTCGGGAAGATATTGCACACCAAGTTACAGGAATAATATTATAACATTTTTTTGCAGATTCAGAACTAGGACTAAGCAAGCGCTGCGTCATGAAGAACATCAGTTCCTTCTAATATACATAAAATAGAGGTGTGCCTTAGGCGTTGTCCCCTATGTCACAATCATTTCTCAAACCTGTTAAGCATTGAGACAAATTTATGGTTGCAACCATTGCCTAATAAGTATTTTGAGATACTGTTCACCACCGCTGTAGATATCAGGTCTATAGACTGAGGTCCTCGCGATGTTAGGAAAGTATGACGAGATTGCCGACAGGTCTGTAGGCAGCAAGGATAGGTAGTCATATGCGTACTTCAAAAAATGCGGTTCGTACTTGGCTTCACCCACTGAGGCCTCTGGCATTTGTGGGCATCCCGGAACTGCTTGATTTTCTCCAGATCCCACCCGGCTGATAGCGACGTGTCGTCTGTGGCGGGTTTATGCGCGCCTAGTCGCATGGACGGAACAAAAACACAGTGACCAGAATGGATATAGGTATATGAGAAACAGTGAGGATGCTCATGGCATGCTGTCGCACAGGCTTCAACAGACTTATGGGAGGGGGATTGGGGCGGCTCTTGCCATCCGCCCCAGTCACCATTGTCCCAGTCCGGTTTGTAGTCAATGGCGCCTAATTTCGTGAACTCGAACAGGTCGGCATATAGTAATGGAAG